GGACACATCATTGTACAAAGATGGTTTAAATGCTTGAGCATGTTTCACAATGAGCGGGGAGAGTTTCTCAAACTTTGCGACAAAGTTCTTCTCCAATGGCCCCATCCGAGAAAACTCCTCCAGTAACTGAAGCAAATTTCAATATTATCACAACACAGTAGTAGTTAAAGAAAAGCAGAAAGTGTCTCTCTTCACAGGAAGAGTGTGATGGTTTAATGGTGTTTATCAGTGTTTGGAATTTTATACCATTGTTTGTCCTATTCTTAAGAATCAATTTTTCTGAGCTAACAATGATACAAACTTACTCATTTACACATTAATAGATTAGATAGATTGGCAAAATAAGTAAACCTTGAAAGTAAAAATAGCAGCACCATATCTTAAAGAAGGACATTAGAAACCTATTCATAACAACATATTGTTCTATTTCAATAACAGCAACATAATAAAAATTAAGGTTCTCACCATATCTCCACGGTAACTTTGCAGATGCTTGTACTCGCGTACTATGGCAGCACAGCTATGAGGTGTTCCCACAGAATTGATGAAACTCCTTCTAGCTTCAAAGGTTGATGCCAGAGAAAAGCTGATTTGTTGCCTGTTTTGAGAATTAGGCAAACCACCATCCATGTATCTTTTCTGAATTAATAAGATGAAGAACATGTGAGATAGAATACAAAACATTTTAAGTTAAACTGAGGAGGAAATTTTTACCAGCGATTCTGTGAGTTTTGAGAGTTCATCACTTCTTGTTGATGTAGAGGGTACTGTGGTAGCAGGCTGCTCTTCTGTTGGACACATTTCTGTAGAAGAGGTCACAGTGCAGGATGAAGAGTATTTCCGCTTCCTATTTGAAGTATTCTGGAACTGATCAGAAGAACTGACTTTGACTGGTTTTTTGTTTTTCCTGTGCCCACTCTTCTTCCTGACTGATTCGAATTGAGTTAGAATCACTTGAAACCATGCAGCCTGGAAGACTCAAAAACAAAATATGTATACAGATATGATTTTTAAAGCACTAGATTTACAATCACTGAAAAATGTCCAA